GTTAAATTAATCATGTTGAATTTATTTTAAAAGTATAGTTAATTGAGGACAAATAAAATTTAGTTTACTTCTTTTTAAAAGAAATCTCTGTCTCCCCCAAACTTAAATTTTTAAATATTTTACATTTAATTCCATAAAATGTAGCAGGAAGAAAAAGTAAAAGTTGAATCTACTAACTACTACAACATCCTATTAAATTCATATACGTGCATAGTCATGATAGAATGACTACAGGAGAAAGTAAATCTAGCCTAAAATATGCTTGCAATAATATTAAATTAAAAAGGAAGTATAATAACTTTAAAATTATTTTTCTTCCTACCCTTAAACTTGATTTTAAACATGTATAACATTCAATACAGAAAATATAAGTAGGAAGAAAAACAGTTCAGAAATTCTATCTATCACAAACATCTACAAGTATTCATCAGGACAAAATAATATACAATAGAAAGTAAGTCTAAACTAAAACATGCTCGATAAAATGAAAAGAAATGTCTAACAACCAGAACAGGTATTAACATAGAAATATATATATTTGTGTTTTCCAAATCTTTATATTATTGTAACACAAACACAAACACACATGATAAATAAGGTCAATTCTTCCTTTAACTCATTACATCTCACTAACTTCTAATTTCTAACAGAATCACTACACAGATATATTGGGTACTTATAAATGATTTTATAGATTTTAATCCCAAAGATAAGATTATCCCTGAAATATTGGTTCTCGATGACCAACCCCAGGCCTCACAATATCCCTTAATTAAGCACCTCTAGCAGTTATAAGGATAGTGTAAATTCATCCACATGTTACTCATCAAATATGTTAGCTACTCCTATCAAATAAAAATAAAGCAAGAGAAAAGAAGTAACAAAATTGAGATGGAATTGTTAAAATTGAGATTGAATTGTGGTTGCTAAAATTAAAGATGTCTCTTGTAAAACATAAGTCTTGGAGTCTTGGTGAGATCCGAGTCGTAGTGGACTCGTCAATCCAACTACTACAAGAGAACATATAAGTCTAGCCATAATAAAAAATTAAGAAATCACCTCCCTCATGACACACAAAAATCAAATCAAACTACTAACAATTCAAACATCTACCAATCATCAATCAAACTAATCAATCCACACTAAAGCAAACACAATACAACACTAACAATCATAACTCTCAAGTACACTAAATCAAATCACACTAATAACTATTAGTTGTCTCCGATAAAGCATTTTGTTTAACGTCGTCAGCCCGACAAATGATTCCACCTAAATCAAGATCAAAATTCTATTTAAGTAATTCTTGATCAATCACCCAACCTTTTTCAGATCTTGGGATTCCTACTAAATCCTCAAATTTTAATTTTAATTTCAGCTATTCTTTTGGCTCTTCCTTTTCAGATTGATTTATATCATTGTTCCTCATATTTATTTCTATATCCAATATTCTTTTAGTGGTTTTCTCAATTTTCATATTAATATCATCCTTAAAATTTATAAGAAATAGATTTTTATAAGATACTTCATGATCTCCCAAATTTGGATCGAATTCTTACTAGATAATTTAAATTTTGTATCAAATTCTTCTTGGTTACTCTTTTGTTCATAGTTGTCTTTCAATTTTTCCCCTTGGTACCGAGTAAATGATAGAGGTGGTTTTTCTATATTTATCTTAGTTGAGGAAATAGGTTTTTCCAATTCCTTATGATTTTTTTCTATTGGTCTTTCAATCTCCTATCTTCATTTCTCAACTCAAAGTTCTTTTGAAATATATCCTTGAATTCTCTTCTAAATATTAGTTCGATAATTTTCAATTGCTCATCATTCATCTCCTTGGGGTTTTTTCTTTGGTAAAATTTCTGTGGGATAACTGTTAATTGCATTAATAATTTGCCCCAGTTATTTTTCTATATTCCTTATTGCAACCTCTTGATTTTGTAGCTCACTCTTCATTTGAATAGCAACCTCTTCTAGCATTAATTCCTTCTCATCCTGTGGGTTGAAATTAAATTGAGGAAAATTATTAATTGAGTTAATCATCTGCCCCAGTTGGTTTTTCAGATTTCTTATTGTAGTTTATTGACACTCCCGCCCCCTCTCGCTCACTCTCCATATGAATAACAACCTCTTCTAATAAATCATTCTCTTCATTATGAGGGTTGAAGTTAAACTTATGAGGAATCTCCATATGAATAACAATCTCTTCTAATAAATCATTCTCTTCATTATGTGGGTTAGAGTTAAATCCATGAGGAAAAGAAAGTTCATTATTATAATAGTCATGATTATTCCAACTACATGTACGATTAAATTGATTATCTTCCCAAAATTGGTCTTTTCCTCTAAAATTATTATTCCTCTTAAAATTCAAATGATTTTCCCAACCTGGATTATAATAATCAGAATAAGAATTATATATCTCATGGTCAGTTTCAATCCACTGTCCAAATGAATTTTCCTTAATAATTGGTGTTCCTAAAATTGAAAGCATATCTTCTTGAAAATTTGTCACTCTCTTAGGGTTTACTCTTTCAGAGCTACTAGCATTATAATCTGAATCTGAATATTTATTATATAGTTGATCTGTCATTTCTACATTAAATTCATTGAGTCTTTTCAAATCTCTCCAGTAGAATCTTACAAAAGGATACCCCCTTTAAAAAGAGGTCCGTTCAGCCCCTATAAAGGCATGTTTGCAGGTGGCATGTTTGAAGAATTTAAAGGATCCCCTTTAAGGGTGGATGGTTTCTCACGTGTGAACCTGTATATCGTGTTTTATATCAATTTAAATCTCAGTAACAGTGTCAAAAACTTGACTCATCCCAGAATTACGCAGTAATTTAGCTTTAAAAAATATGGCCAAAATCATGATCTAATTTATATTAAGTATTTAATATGCAAAATAGAAATGTTATATAGAATATATAAAATTATATTTTATATCAATTTAAATCTCAGTAACAGTGTCAAAAACTTGACTCATCATGATCTAATTTATATTAAGTATTTAATATGCAAAATAGAAATGTTATATAGAATATATAAAATAGTTCACACACTAAAAGTTCTACGCAAGTGTGCGTATCGTTTCAAGTAATATAGTGTTTTCTTTAAAAATCTCAGTATCGATCCCACAGAGAAGCGCAGTAAGAAATCCCTTAGGCTAATTCTAGTCTACTACTATCAATACTTAATTTCGAAGATGAAAATTCTTATGATAATAATATAAATCACAATATTTAAACCATAAAAATTAAAGTAAGAAAGAAAAGTTAAAAAGGGTTTAATGAATGTAAACAGAAATGTAACTAAAAGAACTAAGTTTACTAAACTAATTTCTAAACTTCAAAATTAAATTTATTAAGACTAAACAAAGTTTTGTGGCAAAAAGTTCAAGTTTAAAAAAGCATCATTCCCCTTTATAATGAGCACATAGTTAGTTAAGTAATTATAATCATTCGAATTTATATATATATATATATATATAGATATGTATATATACGAGGATATCGACTGCCACTCCAGATCTCCCGCTACTCCCTCACCTGAGGGCTAACAATCTCGCATCAGTTTCCAATCAACTTGACCAAATTGGGATTTTAATCTGTCACCTTAAAATCTCCAATTTTGCATCTAACAAAATATATTTCTCTATTTATTTACACTCAATTCTATAAATGACATACTCTCCCATGAAATCAAATGTGATTCTCCCGATATTGTTGAAATCATAGCCTTTTTGGAACATGTGTTTCTCAACACATTTTAACATTTTAATCGGCCAAATCGAAAAGTAAATGAAGATTTGAGTTCAAATCATCACAAATTATTGACATTTAAAACCGTATAAAACAAAATCATTTTT